TTAATCAATATTTTTATATTGACAATGGATCACATTACTGCTTATATGTAAAAGGTTTTTTTTGGTTCACTCTCACCACTCTCATAGTGTCGTTTCCAGCCTCAGGATGCTGCTGTTTTTGATTAAAAATAAATAAAAAGCTCTTAAATCCCCTCTGTACACTACCTGCTCTGCACCAAACAGCAGACATAGTTAGCTGTCAGCTGGAGAAGAAAGTGGATAATTTAGCAGCTAAAGAGCCAGATTAGTTTGTGGAGACCAAACCGGAGCTAAAAGGAGAGAGAATTTGAATAAATGCTAATATTGCACTGTGCCTGCTGGATGCATGTATGCATTCCTAACACGTTTGTCAGTTTTGTGATTACAGTGTTTTTCCACTAACACAAATATTTGCTCTTCTCCTTAATGGCAGTAAAGCATTACCTTCAACAGTCCTCATGCTGCACATAAATGACTTTTAAAGTTCACCTAATGTTAACTTGAGGCTTCAGCAGTCTGACTTAAGTGAAGATGCCTACTTGATTTGTTGACTCAGACTTCTAGAGCATTATATTAGCTTCAGCTGAAATGCATTTTTGCACAAAACAAGGAAAGTAAGACAGCTACTTTGGGAATTTGGGGTATTTTCATGGCCAGTATTGACAGGAGGAATGATAACAGCGACCAGCTCTTTCAATGGACATATGGCATGTGATTATTATCTATTTTATACTTACTACTACTACTACTACATATGGTTCCTATGGATATATCAGTCAAATGACAGATATATGTAACTTCTATAATGAAAAAGGAAATAAAGCAAGCTAACCGAAAGTGTTTGGTGAATAAAACAGTGTGGTGTGAGTGGTGCTCTGGAGTTGTGCAAGTTTGATGGACTTGAAGCTCACACTGGTCTGCATCTTGCCATCTGTGCATTCTCAAAGTAAGAAATTGTAGATTCTTTGTCTCACCAAATACTGTCAGGGGATTCTTTCTCTCTCACTCCGTAGTCGGCGTAGTACATGTCGATGACCAGATTGCTGTTGTTGTCGTGGGCTGACTCGAAGTTGGTGACCACACGGCAGGGGATGCCCAGCAGGCGCATTACTGGAACCACACACAGAGATTTGAGTCATTCAAATAAGTTCATTTAAAGTAACTACAGCTGTCACATAAATGTAATAAAGGTAAAAAGTACAATATCACTCTCTGAGATGTAGTGGAGTAGAAGTGTCATGAAAAGAAAATACTCAAGTAAAGTACAAATACCTCGTTTCTTTTTTACTTAAGTACAGTACTTGAGTCAACATACTTATTTGCTGTCAATTTTACAAAGAATTAGTTTCATACATTTCATTAAATAAGTAAATAAATCATTAAAGGTGTGTGTGTGTGTTAAATAATAATTACAATAAAATAAAATAAAATACATAAAGTAAAAACAAATATTAAAAAATAAACATAAATAAGTAAAACAGTAAGTGTGTGTGTGTTGCTAATTAATTTCATATTGTTCATCAAATGAATGAAATAAAAAATAAATAAAACAGTAAAATGCAGCTGTTATTTATGGATGCAAGCTGTTACATCCAGAAATCCATCCAATCCAAGTGTCATGTGATCAGTGTCAAAATAATGACTTAATAATAGTAATAATTACTTGCATTGCCCAAACAGTCCCAGACCCACGCACATTCAATTTGAAGCAATAAAAAACAGAGAAAAGCAGCAAATGCTCACATTTGAGAAGATGGTAACAGCCAATGTTTGGGATTTTACCTTAATGAATGGCTTAATTAAACAATCCATCAACTGACAAATAAATTATTTGAGTAATTGTTTCAGAACTAGCATTTATCTTTCCAGATGTTGTTCCAGGTGTGAGGACCTGCAGAGTCAGATGTTACTGTACCTGAGCACATCACACCGGCGAACACCCAGCACTGCCCGTACTTGACCGGGCTGCAGTCAGTATTTATCCACTGCTTAAGAATGGCATGACTGCCATTCCACTGAAAGGGTGGGACCCCGTCGCAAAATGAACCGTCCCAGCGTCCCAGCAGGACACCACGGTCGTCATTACAGTTGACCTGAGACAAACAAGGAAATTATCATAAGGTGACTTTTTTCTCAAAACTACATTTTCATTCTTCCCCTCCCAAGAATGACCCAAACACACCAAACACTTGCCATATATATTGAGGATTACATCTTAAACTCTCTACCTCGTCACTGTCCTCTCTCCTTCTGTCACTTTTTGCAGGTATTTCTACCTCCGGAGCTGTAGAGTCTGGATCTGCGGTTGCAAGCCACCTACCACACCTAATCTTCCTGCACTATACCTACTGCTGCAATTGATATTATTAGTCCTGTGAATTGCTATTCTAATTGTTTTCATATTTTTATTATTGTCACTACCATTACATTTAATATTTTACATCTCTATGTGGAACCTGCATTGTGCTACTGTGTGCTCTCTGGCCTCTTTCTGTACTGCACAGCATTGATTTGAGCTAAACGCTGATCTAGGCATGCTAACATGCTCACAAAGATAACTCTAATATTTGTATATAAATGTATAGTTGGTATAATGTATCATGTTCACCATCTTAGTTTATGTTAGAATGCAAACATTTGCTAATTAGCCCTGAAGAAGTTAAGCTGAAAATCCCACTTTTACTGTCATCTAGCGGTGGAAAGTTTCAATTGGCATCGCATCATTGCTGGATTTTGGTACTCAAAAAACTCAAAAATGTCCCTTAAAAAAGCCCATAAATATCTGTGAAACATTTCTTTGCTGCTATAAAAGGTTTGTGGAGGTATGTTTAAAAAACACAGTGTGACCTACCATGGCACTGACCACACGGCTGACGTAGATGGGGTTACAGCGCGCAGAAACATCGTCAGCTGGGCCATTCAAGTGTTTGTTGTTCATGTCCAACATCTTCAAACAAATGTCCACCATGTTGTGTTCAAACTGGGCAGAAGCAGACAGGAAAAGAGGAGATGCTCTTTTTGCTCTTATTGTATTTTATTTATGGTAATACATTGGGATTAACTGCAGATGTTTATAGTATCAACTGCTCAGCAGCGGGTAAAGGTCAGAAACTAAAATATAAGACATAAAATTCTAAATTGAACATCTGGGATACTCAGGATACCCCTGTCTGGGACATCAGACAACAGATAGATGGATAGATAGATAATTTCCGTGATATAAATTTAATGGCATTTAAATGTCAACAGAAAGTATTCAACAGTGATTCAATTTTACAATTAGGTATTCAATTCCTTATAAGCATAAAATCTTTATGGCCATTACGTGCTTCCAAAAAACTCTCCACAGGATTGAAGATGGGGAGAGGTCTGTGTTTAGGGGATGAAATAAGCAAATGTGATTGGCTTTCACAACCTCGATAATCCACTATGTAAAATAAGTATGATAATAGTTTATTTTATGATGCAAGAGCGCCACTGGCCACAAAATTACCTATAAAACATTAAACTGTGCTGGCACACCCTGGGTGCTCTGGATATGCCGTACCTGATTGTGATTCGTGCCACACGTGTTGAAACGTAGAAGAAGAAAAATGTCGTTGATCAACAACAGTGTTACTAATGTGGCCATTTGTGGTCTGACTGTGCATTGGGTTTAACGTCAGTCAGTTTTGTCTATGTATGTGTGTATATGTGTGAGTGAGTACCTGTCCGTAGTCCCAGTTCATAGGGGAAATGTAGCTGCCACTTCCTCGGTAGATGATTCCTTGTTCATTCATTACATACTCCTGCCTCTGCTCCCCATCAGACAGAAACACCCAGTCATCTGCAGAGAGAGTGAATTAATTCAGACAGACAGACAGACGATAGGTCAATAGATTAGATAATATATGTTATAAGTTCAGATCTTAACTTAAGTAAAAGTACATCATCAGCAAAAGGCACATAGATTATCAAAAGAAGATATAGATAGCAATATATATCAAAATAACAATCTATATAACAATAGACTGACATCTTACCAGGACACCAGGGGTTGAAGAGCACCACCGGCGTTGCCAGTAACATTTTCTCATCCCTGTGCGTCACATACATCAAGTACTCCCCTATGGGGGTGTCGGCCGGGGGCGTAATGGTCAGGTTCAAGAGGCCTGTTAGTGGGGAGGAACTCTTGTGAAGCGCTATCTTCCACACTGCCTTTGCTGATGGTGAACCCTGCACTCTGTCTGGGACACTGAAGAATGACATCGTCCCCCGAACATCAGACGGGTGTTTTCCTGAGGAGAGGAGACACAGAGGGAGGCAGACATTCATTTACTGTTGTAACAAAACCATCTGTTGGTTTTTACTGACTGTGATTCCCTCATGGTCAACAAATCTCTTAAAAAGGCCACACCCGGAATACTTACACTACAAATAAGTATTGTTTATTATATTGTTGTTACTGTGTCGTCAAAGCCTGACATAGCTGGGTTTTCCTCTATGCCTACTGCTCTAAAAAAGGCAGAGAGCGTTGACTGCAAAAGTATGCAAATTGAGTACAAATAATGTGACGTTTTCAGGCTAGTGAAAAGTACACCTAAAATGCAGAACTGCCATTGGACAATTACCAGGGGAAACATAGTATCTACAAACTAAATGTGTTCTGTGCAGACAGGATGCCGAATCGCTGTGAGACCATGCAAGTCACGTCATCTGAACACCGAATTTGAACTCATGTCCAACATAGCATGTTATGAATGTGTCACATTTATACTCTCAGGACTTCACGACCTGTTCCTAAACACTTGAAGGCACATTAACTACATATCGTGACAATGAAATTGTCTTGTATCTGATAAAACTCATTGTCAATTTAATCAAATTATTATTCTGATTGATTGGAAAGTCTACTATAGGCATTCATCGGATACATTCTTTAAAAAATGTTTTGATGTATTTATTATTGATTGATCATTTACTGGTGAACCTGTTCATCTTTATTTTAACACAATATTGTTTATATTTTTATGTATCTATTGAGAATAGGGGTTGGTGAGCTGCCTTCACTTGATCTCCTGTCTAGCTAGTTGTCTATCTGTGACAATATTACAGTCTGTTTTTACAGAAATTATACTTTTCTATGACATTATATGTTTTCATATGACAAATCAGATGCCAATTAGTGAGATTTCAGTCATAACTCAAGTTATAGGCTACTAAATATGTACAGTAGTTACTAAATTCTGCCTTTGTAGGACATCATAGACTTCCATCATTGTCCAAAAGCTTCTCCAAAAACAGGTTCTTAAGAAAGAACTTATAAATCACGACTGACAGGAAGTTTACGTGGAGGATACAAATGTATTATATGATGCATTTTCAGATACATTCTTGACATTCTATGACATTTTTCGTTGAAAGAATCTAGACAAAATTTCAAAAGTTTGGGAAAGCCATGGCTAACAAAGGGTTTGGAAAAAGCCTGTAAAACAAAAAATAGCCTCTATAGAGAATTTTCTCAAAACCGAAGAAAGGAAAATGAGAAACAGTATAAATCTCTTCTTTTGTTTCTTTTGTACTGCTGGTATTCTGCATTTTAGTGTAAAGGAATGGCAAGCCTTGGGCTTCAGCCTATTCCTTTTTTGGTTTTAAATGTTGCAAGTTATTTTGCGTGAGTGGATTGGTGTCGGCATAATATAGGATATTTGTAAATTGCATATTCACACAAATTGTCATTCTTTGTTCATTATAATTTAAACCAGAAAAAAACATTAATTCATTCATTTAATAAAGGACCAACCTGTCATTGCGACGATGTTGAGCGGGTAAAGGTCCGGGTTGAAACATTGCGTCAGTTTTAGGGTCAGGGTGAAGGGCTGGCCTCGCCTCACAATCAGCCGATCCACAGAGATTTCACTGGTGTGGTGTTCAGTGTTGTTGGTCTGACAGTGGAGGTCCACTCCCTTATAAACTGAAAGATATTAAACATACAAACATTAACAAGTGACTAGAAGCTCTTAATAGAATATGAGTACATCAGGTTAATCAAAGAGAAAGCAAGCTATGAAAAGTTCATCAACTCTTTAATATAAAATTGATTTATTTGATGACGGTAATTTGTAACTTTCCACTTTTCTTATAAATAGCAAATCCCTAAGTAGAAGAAGCAAAGACCTTGTTCATCCGTGACAATAAGAAATCATTTCATTAATTTGCTTTGACTAAATGCAATTTTTATGATCTTTTTCATGTTCTGAACTTGTGTACAAGGGAAACATATCAGATATAATTACTATCATTTTTATGGTTACCCAGAGTGGTCATGTAAAAAAGTATGTTAGTCATACTGTAAATTATTAAAATGCCATTAAGTTGTCATTCTGTCTGTTAGTACAAAATTTTTGTAAATATTATTTATTACATTATACGTTCAAATCTTTTTTTTAAATTATAGGTACAGACACAGTGCACATAATGAGTTTGTATTACCCCCCCCCCCCCCCCCCCAGCGCCACCTACCCCTGACACTTTACACTCTGCTGACTATGTTTACATATTTTAAACACCTGATACTGATGAACAAAAATCCACGAAAGCCTCCTTTAAAATAAATAATAAAAGTAAGTTTTTTTTAGGATGCATGACATGTTTAGTAATTATATTAAACATTGCCAGCAGTGCATCTTCTGTAGCTGTGACTTTTTTTAAGCAAATCGAAGTGTTCAAAAAGCACTGGAATATCCTTGAAAGTCCTTTGATTCAAACACAATGCCTTTACATGCATCATTATATTAAATGGTAAAACATTAAAGATGTGAATAATTCTACATACTTTACTGTCCCATAGCTTATTTTGCATAGCGTTTTATCCCATATTTACCCACAGGTCAACATCAGACATTTGGCATTTTTAGCATGTTAAAACATCTACTGTAAATGTCCTGCTCATCACCAAACAACCAGACAAAGTTAGCAACTAGCTGATGAGAAATGTAATCTTACAACATTTTTTAAATTTAATTTCAGTCCACATTGACTCCTAAAATATGAAATTTCAGCTCACTAAGGAAAAGTGTATGCTTCTGCCCAAACATATGTAACCAAACACAACATTAAGGAATTCGTTCATTCACATACAATGTATGCAAACAGGTTGATGGTGTCTCACTGAATGCAGAGACCCACACAAGACAAGATATGATGATAAAGTTACTTAAATCAGATACCCATATTAAAAATTCTGGTGTACTTACCATTTTTTTTCACGTCGGCTGTCATCTTTCCAGAACTTTCTCTCTTAAAATAGTAGATGTAAAGACAGGAAAATGCACAGTGACAGGTGACTTAGTGCTGATTGATTTTAAAGCATCGTCCTGGCCCAACCCCTTCTCAAATTAACATATAACAGGTCTTGCAACCTGCATTAATTTCCTAGGAGCTTAAGCTGTGTTTCGACTTGTTACAGATGAATCAATCAAGTTGATACCACCATTGCAACCATTATCTCTCAAATGATGTGACACTGATTCACTGATTCCACTTATGTGAATAGATGGAAGTTGCAACATGTATGACTTGAATGTGCTGATGTAATAACAATCATGTTTCAAAATGAATAAATCCCCTAGTTTGCTCCATATTACCTTAGCGTTTTAAATAGTTAGATCACTGTTGGCTTGAATGATGTAACATCTCTTATTACTTGATGCTGTGATGTGACGTGATGAAAGTTTCAGGTGTGGAATGTGTCTATGGATGTGTGTTTGTGTGTGTGTGTTTGTGTGTTTGTGTGTGTGTGTGTATGTGTGTGTATGTGTGTGTGTGTGGGGGGGGGGGGGTTAGGGTGGGATTGTTTGATTCAGTATCTGTCTGTCTGAGACAGATTTTAAACCACGCCATTGTTAATTTCTCCATTTTACATTTTAAGGGGCATTAAGTGATCTGTGACCTTGTGGAAACTCATTGTGTAATAACGTTATGCAAATTGTATGTCATTGTCTGTAACATTGTACCCAGTATGATGCACGATTTTGATCACTTGCAGGTAAAACATCCAGACATCCAGAGTAAAAAGTTTTTAGATAGAAAAGAATACAACTTTTGAGTGTAAAATGGTCTTTCTCACCAAAACATAAAAGCAGCCTAACAGGTAAATGCTCCGTACTTGTATAGCACCTTTCTAGTCTTTTCGACCACTCAAAGCGCTTTTACACTACATCTGCATTCACCAGTCACACACATTCATGCACTGGCGGAACATTCGGGGTTCAGTATCTTGCCCAAGGACACTTCGACACGCAAGGGAGCGAGGGATTGAACCGCCGACCTTCCGATTAACAGCCAACCCGCTCTACCTACTGAGCAGCCGCCCTATATGTTACATGTAAAACAAGTAACATATCAACTGAGACAAGGCTAGACTACAATACAATACATAAGAAAGATTATAGATAAAAAGTGTGCTGAGTCCAAAACAGATAAAAAAGAACAGATGAGAATGATTTGTTAGACTCCTTTATCCTGAAAGTATGCATAGATGATCATATCTTAAATCTTATCATCCCTGGTCTATATTGCTACTTTTGCATGAGAAAAACCACACCCTGAGAGGCATCTGTAGAGAGCAAGTCAGACATTGTTTGTCTGATACAGACTCTCTGTGGTCGATTAAATTAAGTCACCATTAATCCAAATATCGATGCGTCTTTGTTAAAGGACATGTGCATTTAAAGAGTTAATAGCTGAACAAAAATCCACGAAAGCCTCCTTTAAAAAATTTTTAGGACGCATGACATGTTTAGTAATTAAATTAAACATTGCCAGCAGTGCATCTTCTGTAGCTGTGACTTTTTTAAAGCAAATCGAAGTGTTCAACAAGCACTGGAATATCCTTGAAAGTCCTTTCATTGGAGGGCAAAATCTTTAAGGACATGTGCCTTTGGGTGTCTAGGTTCACATAACTATTGTCTTAACAGCATTTCAGTAACTATATTTCTGTGTAGTTGAGTAGTGATTTACAATGAAAAATTGTCAAGTTAAATGGCAACATGTAACCTAGACGTTCTTCAACCTGCATATCACCAAATCACTGCTCATAGTTGCAGACTATTTTGACGAGTCAAAATCATCAGCATTGCTGCATTTGTCCTGACGCAAAAAAACAAAGTGTCATCACCATCTTCAGTTTAACTGAAAACCATAAGCATTACTGCGTAAAGTCAGTGGTGAGATGACGTCCCTCACCAACTCGCTGACAAGGAGTATGTCTGCGCAGTCTGACCCCGTCTGATTAACTGCTCGGCGTCAAATAATTCGGAAACAATATTCCTCTCCTGAAAGATTTGAGCATGTCTCTGTCTCCACAGTCCATCACAGGCCCTACTGACAGCTCCAAACCACTTGAGAGACCTCTCCAGCTGTCTTAAATAACTGGGAGAGTAAGAGTGATTCTTAGCATTAAGGAATTTGATAACTTGCTTTTATTCTTAAGTTTAAAAGTAGGAGTAAATTTCATGATTTCTCAGCATTTAAGAATAAAATGGCACTTTGAGAAGCTTGATAAATACCGGCCCAGGCTCTGCACAACCTCAGTTGAGTTAACTGAGCGTGACCCCTCCCAGGCTCAACTGGGGCATTGAACTCAGTATCTGTCTGTCTGAGACAGATTTTAAACCACGCCATTGTTAATTTCTCCATTTTACATTTTAAGGGGCATTAAGTGATCTGTGACCTTGTGGAAACTCATTGTGTAATAACGTTATGCAAATTGTATGTCATTGTCTGTAACATTGTACCCAGTATGATGCACGATTTTGATCACTTGCAGGTAAAATACCAGACAAACATCCAGACATCCAGGTTAAAAAGGTTTTAGACAGAATAGAAGAGAATACAACTTTAGAGTGTAAAATGGTCTTTGTCTCACCAAAACATAAAAGCAGCATGAGCACAGGTAGGCTAACATGTAAAACAAGTAACATATCAACTGAGACAAGGCTAGAGTACAATACAATACATAAGAAAGAATATAGATAAAAAAGAGTGCTGAGTCCAAAACAGATAAAAAAGAACAGATGAGAATGATTTGTTAGACTCCTTTGTCCTGAAAGTATGCATAGATGATCACATCTTAAATCTTATCATCCCTGGTCTATACATTGCTACTTTTGCATGAGAAAAACCACACCCTGAGAGGCATCTGTAGAGAGCAAGTCAGACATTGTTTGTCTGATACAGACTCTCTGTGGTCGATTAAATTAAGTCACCATTAATCCAAAGATCGATGAATCTTTGTTAAAGGACATGTGGATTTTAAAGAGTTAATAGCTGAACAAAAATCCACGAAAGCCTCCTTTAAAAAAATTTTTAGGACGCATGACATGTTTAGTAATTAAATTAAACATTGCCAGCAGTGCATCTTCTGTAGCTGTGACTTTTTTAAAGCAAATCGAAGTGTTCAACAAGCACTGGAATATCCTTGAAAGTCCTTTCATTGGAGGGCAAAATCTTTAAGGACATGTGCCTTTGGGTGTCTAGGTTCACATAACTATTGTCTTAACAGCATTTCAGTAACTATATTTCTGTGTAGTTGAGTAGTGATTTACAATGAAAAATTGTCAAGTTAAATGGCAACATGTAACCTAGACGTTCTTCAACCTGCATATCACCAAATCACTGCTCATAGTTGCAGACTATTTTGACGAGTCAAAATCATCAGCATTGCTGCATTTGTCCTGACGCAAAAAAACAAAGTGTCATCACCATCTTCAGTTTAACTGAAAACCATTGTAGAATAGAATACAACTTTAGAGTGTAAAATGGTCTGTTAGATCAGGTCTGCAGCAGGTTTTGTTAAATGTCTGTTATACCCAGCCCAGTATCACTTTGAATTATTTAAATATTACACCATTCTGTCCCTCAGGATGTGGAAAATGCGAGTGTGAAGGTGTGGGTGGCCATGTAAAATATTAATAGATCATAGTGTCATCACAGACTTGCAATTAATGTTTTTATTAATGTTAACCAGAATCAGGGTGACTGTGCTCCAGACTATGTAGGTAAAGTCTTAAAGCTGATGATACATGGGGGCAACTTTTTGAGCAGTGTTGCTGGGCAATCTTGCTGGTGGCAAGCCGGACTATTTTTTGAACGGAATGCGGTGGGGCGGAGCGGGTGGCGGATGGTGGGGGAAGAGGATTACTGTAGTAATCTTTACTCATTACCATTGATAGCAGCACTCCCCAGCACCATTGCTCTGAAAGTTGCTCTGTGTATCATCAGCTTTTGACTTCAAACTATAGCTAAGGTGAAGTCATAGAAACACCCCCTGCATGCTCATCCTGCCTTCTCTTCTTTATCTTAATAAATCTGTGGGACAACAGTTGAAAATGATCTAATTTGCTGTCCTCAGCACATTGATTACTTGTGATTAATAAGACAAATTAAAAAAGTAAAAGAAATAGTTGCACATGTTTTTTTTTATTTAATTGGATTATTTCATAGTTTGGTGATAATGTAGTGAATCACACCCTTAAAAAGTATCGTCAGACATTACTTTCTATTCTCTTTATTGAACAGAAGCTCCAGAGATCTCCATCTATACCCGGTATGAGGCAGAGAATGGTGTGGTCAACACTCTCTTCTGTTTGGCCAATCACTTCCATCCCCCCACCTTCAACTTCACATTGTTGTGAACTCAACCAGACACACTTCAAAGAAGGTCAGATGGTGTCAAAAGAGGGAGGGAAGTTTTCCTCCCCAAGAGTTGACCTTTTCACATGCAAAACCCAGAGACATCGCCTGGTGTTTGGTAAGGACTGGCAGAGACTCAATCAGACAATGCATCGCTTAAGGATTGTGTATTCAAAGAGCCTTAGTGAACCTCCCTAACCGTAAAGGTGTCACTAGAGACAGTCAACAGGACAGCAAAAAGGGCCATCTGACCCCTTTCTCCCTCCCGCAGGTCACCTCCACAGAACGGCTGAGCCATAAACCACCATTTCGTTCTCTAATAGCCAATATGATAAGCCAGGAATGCAAAGAAAAGAGACCATAACAACCCCTGTTTCTCAAACCAAGCAAGGTTCCATTATAACTGTGTTTGTTCTGTTTAAATAATAACCTTGCTAAGTGAGCAGTGGCGTTTGCCTCTGAGTTTAGTAAATAATGACCCCGTTGTTATCCTTTTAGTGATGTTTGAAAAGTAGCAGACCCATAAGAAAGTAATCTTGAAGAGTTCCCTAACCTCTTTCTGTTTTGTCTTAATTCATCCCTGTTACTCCGTAGTAATCACTGTCTGTTCAGTATTAACTAATGCTTTAGTTAAATGTTTCATATACACTTTCCTACTGCAGTCCTTTTACATTGAAAGTTCAGTGTCTGGACCATGTCACACTTGGGTGAGACAGGGGTTTTCCTTTTTGATGTGGTAATAAAACAAAGAATAAGGTCAGTTGCCACGGAAACATGTGTGGGGGGGCCAGTTTTGATAGGCTGTTTAGGGAAATGCCAATGGCTGGTTCGTGTCCCTTTGTCAGTTTAACAGTCAGGCCCCGCGTTACCAACTTCGGAATCAAAAAGGTGCCAGTTTTATGGTCGGGATAGCACTTAGAGAAAGCAACTTTGACCCTTCCCCTTCTTCTCTGGGGAGGAGAAAGGAATTTAGGGTAGCTCCAAATTTATTCAATGTAAAATGCACAAATCCACACCGTTGTTCACTACAATATTGTGGAGAGAGAGATTTAAGGGAAATACGCG